AAACTGAGTCCCTTATTGTGGCAGCCAACATCATTAAAGCTGCATTAAGCAATATTTTTTATGTTAACACTCAGTCAGATGGCCCCTGAATCAACAGCTCAGTCTGCCGCGCTGCAGCTTTCAGCTCATTCTCTTGTGTTGCTGGACCAACAGAACCAGAGAAGAAGTGGCTGGTGAAGAAAGTTGCAAACCTGCATGCTGTTGCTCCAGATATGCACAGGTTCAGATGTAGCTTAGTTTGAATATGTTTGAGGAGTGACTCCATAAGTGAAAAACCCAAATGTCCATCCCAGAGCAGTTAGACAATGTGAGACATTAATGCTGCACTAAAGGGAATTTTTCTTTCACATTGCCTGCAGCAGATTACATTTTTTTACATTTATGATTTCACTTATATGAAAATTCAGTACTATTGCTATATCATTAACATTATTTCAAAATTTGGAACAAGTGTTGATTAATGCTGCATTCACTTGAGATGAGAATTACTGCTGGCAGCGCTTGGTTGCTCGTACCCTTGGCAATTTCAGGTAGTCCGAGTACGCCAACATGCAAGTTTCCCATGAAACTCTTGTTGATGTTACTGTGTGTGGTACACTCATTCACACCTTAGTAAGCTGAGAAGCACAGAAGTAACTAATTCACAAATGCACTGTGTCCTCACACAGGAAGTCCGGCTCGCGCCGGCTCTTGGCAACAGAAGTTCCCCAATCTCATCGTGTCTCAACTTTGACATTTACACTGGTATCCTCGTTGTAAATGACAGTTGTTTTTTTTCACCATCAGATGTTTGTATATTTCCGGTTTCACTCTGGGCTGATGATGAAACATAATCAACACGCCCACTAGCTCTGTGTGAATACTCTGGACTATATGCTGCTGTATTGGCTCACTCCAGGGTATTCAGACTAGGGAGCTGGCAGAGCAAAGTCCACTTAAGATCCGGGTCAACTGATTTGGACATTTGTGTTCTCACATACAGCTCCTCTGGGTAATGTCTAAATAATTTTAGGGTTCCAGTGCATCTCTGAAAAGGACCTATGTTCACACTTGAACACATAAATGACCCTCTATTTAAAAAATGCCCTTTAGTCAGTCGGGTCCATCTGTCCCATTTTCAGAGATGCTGCACGAGATGTCACTGACCTAACGATGCAGTTAGTGTGTTAAACTCCAACTCTGGATCAAACCTATACTCAGCTGCAAGAGGCTGCAGGGCACAAACTCTAGTAATTCTTACTTTTAACAGCTGGTCAACAAAGAGGACTCTAATAGGATGCCTGTATCCAATTTGGGAATATGCCATCACTGCGGTAGCAATCATACAAATTTGATACACTAAAGGCTCAGTATTGTGAGGATGTGTTTCAGTCTCTTATCAATGTTGCCTTAAATATACTGTGGTAATACTTATCCTACAGAAGAAACTATCCTGAATAATTGTCTCACCACGTCTGGTCAATAATCTGTACCAACACTTAATTATACAGTACACAGCGGGACTACTGTCAGTATGATAAACATTTTCTATGTTTCATTAAAATTCAGTGTGGTGAAAGTTAACAGCTAAGTTTAACTGTTATACTGTATGTCAGCATGGTGGACTAATACAGATTTTGTTTATGGGACAGGAAAGAAAGCAGCATTGGGCTCATTTAAAAAAAAAAAAATCATACTGCCTAAATATTACAGAAGAAATAAATGATTTATACAACTCAAAATAATAATCACTGAGAGCTACATCATCACTTACTGTACAAAGAGGCTCTTCCTGGATAACAAGGAGGCCTAATTTATACAATAGCATCTGGTGCATTTGTATGAAGCATCATCCATTTAGACGAGCCTGACAGGTACTAAGACAGACAGACAGATCAAAACATACACACATGCACATAAACAGACACACACAGCCATGAGTCAGAAAGGCCTCTTGATGTTCTCATCGAGCCAGAAGGCACAGCAGGGACTGACGACTCACTGTCAAGAGACAAATCAACACACACACACACACACACACACACACACACACACACACAGACCAGGAAGAGTAATGCCTAAACATTTCCTCATCAAAATGTTGACTGCCTATGATTCTGTAGGTGGGGCATGTGCATTATTTTTCTAAACTTTGCTTTTTTTTTTTTTTGGTCTGTCTTTGCCATTGCAAGACAGGGATGGATATAAAGAGGTGGAACATATATATACATGATAAATCTCTCTCCCGGCAACTTTCTATGAATTTCTGCAGCCCTCATTACAACTATAGGTTTGGCTGCAATAACTAATAATATGAAAAATCACATTTGACCATCTGTGACACAGGGACAATAGAACATACTTTGCCAACTTAACGTTAAAAGACTGGTGAACAAACAAGCTAGCTTGCAAATACATACGTAACGTTAGGCTAACATTAGCAAAAGTCCCAACTTTCCACACAACCCTGTTTACATTCTCAGTTAGCACATGCATGATTGCACAATGACTGTTGTCTGCTGCACATGCTGCTCCCATGCAGCATACATTCTCTATTATAATCTTTTATTATATTGCTGCATTTGTTGCTGCTTAAAGTGTCCTAGATTGTGTGTTACATGCATAATTGCACAATGACTCTGCTGTACATGCTGCTCCCATGCAGCATACATTGTTATATTCCTATATATTTTTTTATTATATTGCTGCATCTGTTGCTGCTTAAAGTGCCTTAGATTTTGTGTTACTTATCTACATTATACTTCATTTGTATTTTGTGGCATTCATGTGGACGGCAAAGTAAAAATTTCATTGTACAGGGAAACACGTTTCCCAACTGTGCAAATGACAAATAAACACTTTGAACCCCAAGTCCATTTGCTCATTTAAAGGAGTTCAAAGAACCATCCTCACTTGAGGAACCAGACAGCCAGAGTGAGACAGAGAGATAAATTCACGGTCAAGAGAGTTTCTGTTGATTTGCAGATCCTAGTTACTGTTTGCTGAAATGACATTACGCATTTGTCAGTCATCCCCTTTCCAGCACTATGATTGGTTGAACTCTTTCTTCTTTTGCTAGGAAGACCTACAGCCATGGCCAAAAAAACTGGCACCCCTGAATTTTTTCAGATAATACATCACTCCTCCCAGAATATCGCTGCAATCACAAATTCTTTGGTATTCTCTTGTTTATTTATTTTGTTTGCATTGGAACAACACAAAAAAGCAGAAAAAGGCCAAATCTGATATTCCACACAAATCTCTAGAAATGGACTGGACAGAATTTTCAAAATCATCAAAAATAGTTTTATTTCCAGCCCGTGTTGGTCCTTTAATTTGTATGAAACTCACCTGTAGCAGTCAACAGGTGCTGGCAATATAGAAATCACAATGGTAACCAGTTAAAATGGAGAAAAGTTGACTCAACCCTTGTATCATGTGGACCACACTGAGCAAGGGGAAAAGAAAGAAAAGCAAAGAACTGTCTGAGGATCTAAGAACCACAATGGTGGAAAAACATGGTCAGTCACAGGACTCCAAGTCCATCTCCAGAGATCTGGCTGTTCCTGTGTCAACTGTGCACAACACTGTCAAGACGTTTACAGCCCATCGTGCTGTAGCTAGTCTCCCTGGACGTGGACAAAAAGAAAAATAGATTACAATGAAGGATTGTTTGAATGGTGGATAAGGAACCTTGATCACCTTCCAAACAGATTCAAGATGACCTGCAGCCACAGGGTGTAACAGTGTCAGCTCACACTATCCATCGCCATCTGAAAGATAAGGGACACTATGGTAGGAGACCCAGACGGCCCCACTGCTGACACAGAAACATAAAAAAGCCAGACTGGAGTTTGCCAAAACTTACCCAACGAAGCCACAGTTCTTCTGGGAGAATGTCCTGTGGACAGATGAGACTAAAATAGAGCTTTTTGGTCGAGCACATCATTCTACTGTTGTTAGAAAATGAAATGAGGCCTTCAAAAAAAAGAACATGGTCCCTACAGTCAAACACGATGGAGGTTCACTGATGTTTTGGGGTTGGTTTGCTGCTTCAGGCTCTGGATGTCTTGACTGTGTGTCTGGGATTATGAAATCTGAAGACTACCAATTAATTCTGGGGCCCAATGTAGGGCCCAGTGTCAGACAGGTGGGTCTCTGTCAGAGGTCATGGGTCGTACAACAGGACAATGACCCAAAGTAAACTTCAAAAAGCAGTACATTACAGTCAACTAGCAGGAAACCACTTAAAACCCTGCAAGTCACATCAGTGTCGCTTTCCAGATTGTGTCATATTGCTCTGCAGCAACACTTGAACCTGGTTCAACACTTCAGCCAGACAATTCTGAACTAGCAACACAGGTTTAGAGCTAACAACAATTCATTACCCAACTCTACTATGACAGGAAACTTAAGATTTCCCTTGCACAGTGGCGTTTGTTATACTAAAATAATTGAATGCAAAGCCGCCAGTGCTGCAGATCAAGTCTTCCATGTGTTCTTTTGGTTCATTTCCCACAGCCTTTATAGACAATATGTGCTTTTAATTACCTATAATTAAGTACTGGTAATTGTTAATGCTTTCTTGCAATCTGGTGTTTTCCTGTGTTTTTATGAAACGCTATAATCGCATCACTTAAGCCTTTTTCAGACATGCACTGGAACCCTGAAATTATCTAGACATTAGCCAAAGGAGCTGTAAGTGAGAATGCAAATGTCTGAGTCAGCTAAATTCACTCTGCCAGCTCTCTAGTACAAAGTCCATGAGTGAGCCCATGTATGAAGGCACCCACATATAGTCATGGATTGTTTGGCCTGGAATACAATTATTCTGAAGCCTTTCTTTACTATTTAGTTTTTGGCCCATGGTGACATTGTGAAGCAACTTTGGAAAATGTTCTTGCAAAGCACGAGGCCCTATTACCTCATACAGCCCTGACTTGGAGGAACAACTATAGACGTTGTGTCAAACCACAGCTATATGAAATATATCGTGTGTGTATTGTATGTGACAGTCTTACCAAAGTGCTCTCTCCACAGGTGGGAACCTTTTCCACACACCAACCCAGTAAGGGTGGTGTGTGTGCTTTAGACTTTCATCTTTCCAGCTCATGAACTGGGACAGGATGGGTTGGCGTTTCCCTTTTTGAAGCACAAATGAGAAAAAGATACTGTAAACACTATGGACTAAGAGACTGCAGTCTTGTCTAATAACTCTAAACTGTCTTGAGATCAATAATGCAGGAATAGCTACCGTATAGTGCTGTGATGAACTGACAGGAGTGATTGCCTAATGGGGTTAGACTGTCTTCACTCTGACAGTCGATGTGGATGGTATGATTTGCTCTGTGGGTCTGTTGTCCTCAGCATGTTCTACTCGTCTCTGTGAATATCTGTAAACCTTGTCAAGAAGGCTGTAGTAGATGAACCTCCTGTACTGTAAAGACAGGTTTATTCCCATTTAGGTTTTATAAGCAAAAATGCAATTATTTAATAATAACTAATATTGATTAATGCTCAGTTATTTTCAACTGTGGCCTTACTCTTCAGGAGATTTCAAATGGTCATAGAAGGGTCTGCACTATATGTAGAGCAGATCATTGATAAATCAGCACATGATAGATAACATTAAATTACAGAACAGAAAAGCCAAAGATATCTTTGAGGTGTAAGAACCAACTCACCATTACACTGTCCACCAGGAAGCAGTGACAAGTTTATTTTTTAACTGATAGAGTCCCATATAGTTCTTGAGCTTTAATAACAAAATTTAAGAAATACTTACATAATGTTATGTAGTTATGTTAAAAGCATTTGTAATATTAAAATTGGTTTAAGTTTTTTTTTTTTTTTTGGAAAACCAAGCTTTTTAAACCAGCTAAAAAACAAGATAGTGGATGTGTCTTAAACTCCTGCCAATAAACATGGTGAGTTTCATACTGGACCAATTCTTTATTCACACCAGGAAAAAGACAACAAGTGTAGAAATGTGCATTGTGAAGTATATTACAAACATATTTTCACCCAGGGCATCATCCTGAGCACATTTCATGATATATGGAGTGACAGAGGAGAAAAGAAGATGGGGAAGGAATTATTAAGCAGAGAACACCGAGGAACCATGAAGGTGAGTGATCAGCAAGATAAAGCCAAATATCTCCTCCTATGACTCAAATCTGTCGCACTTTTCTACATGCTAAATCAACATGGCAGCTTATGGCTGTGCTATCATTTAGCTGGGCTTGATGTAGCATTACTTGGATATAGTAGTTTGAGAAGAAATCCTCAACTCAAGTTGACCTAACAGGATGTTCTGGAGCTTTCCTCTGTATCTCATGTCCTGTGGTGGGGATTCACCCCTCATCTTTCCAAACATGAACTGACAAGATCGGTTGTTGATTTTTTTTTCCGTCAAATTACTTTCAAGGCCAAACAAAGTAAGTTTTGTCTTTCTTGGCATTTACTGTATGAAAAAAAGCTTTCTCTCCTATATTGGTGTTATACAAATGATGTTTGACTCAGATTGATTAGGTGAAACAGGCAGCGCCCTATTCTTTACAACTCAGCAGACGTGCTTTTATACTGTCTAGACACTGCTTCTTAGGCTTTAAGTGTGTGTATGTCTGATTGTGTACATTGGCTTTGGTATGCATCTGTTGGGTTGTGTGTGCATCCTTCTATAGTTGTGTGGACAAAGTTCAATTAAATATCATTTTGAAGATTTTTTTGGCTGGTTCTAACAACTTCAAAGTGCCATTTGAGGGTTTTAGGGTTGGAGGAAGGGCAAAAATTTATGTTAGGTGTTTAGTACCAATTGCCAAGGTTAGGGGAAGGGGCTAGGGAATGCATTATGTCAATGAAGGTCCTCACAACTCTAGAACATCGTGCGTGTGTGTGTGTGTGTGTGTGTCTAAAGGAGGAAACTCAGGGAGACAGTTGCCACCACCACCTCAGCACCCAGCAGTAAGGTATTGATCTCGTTTCAGGAGCTCTCTCGTTTGCCATCTCTCTCTCTCTCTCTCTCTCTCTCTCATCCCTCTTTCATCACTCTTCACTTGCTCTCTTTTGTACTATGCCATTGCCACTATGTTTGGTTTAATAGTGTATTTTATTTCGGTTCCCATTTCAATACATTTCATATTTTCCTTACCCTCGCAGAGCTCCCAAAATCTTTCTATCCTTTCTTCCTTCTTTTCTTTCCCTCCTCATTTTATATCCTTCCTTTCCCTTCCACTCTTCATTTTTCCTTTCCTTGCATCCCTCTGTTCATTGCTCCTACAGATGTCAGTGTTGTAGCTCAGCTTCCTCAGGTTGGAAAGACAGGGAAAGACAGAGAGAAAAAGCAATACAGAGCTCAATACCTCCACCCTCAGGTGCTGAAGTGAACTCTTCTCCTACAGCTTTACTGCAATAAAATCAAACGTTGATGATTCATGGATTTTTACAGCAGTGCTGTAGAGGGCTGTAAATCATTTTAAGGTATTGCTATCATAAACCCTGGCACCAGACCACTGTTCCTATACAGACAGAGATGTATAGCATCAGAATACTGCTTTCACATGTCTCTGTTCACCTGAAGACTTTGAAGAGAACCTTTTCATTCAAGCGATTTTCAATATACCTGTACAGTACTGTACAACTGAAATACAGTGCTTATTGTCTCAGTTTAGACAGACACACAGATAGAAAGATATGCAAAAGGGCTTACAGGGACCAGAAAAACACAATTCAACATCTGTGAAATTAACCATGTCTCAATGGAGTTTCTTGCTGATGAGACAATAAATTGCGATTCTCCACGTGTGCAACCATAATATTAATGAAAGTAATTACACTGAGACAAAACAACAAACACCCCATATGTCAAATAACAGCAAAACAAGGAAAAGTGATGCAGAACTATTCCCTTAGATAAGACGCTAAAGCCAAGGGACAGTTGTATTAAAGTATCTATAAAATTGAGAGAAAAAAAAAAAACAAACATCAGGTGCAACAGTTGATCTAAGACTAATCGTAAGGAAAATCACTTTCATGGTAATATAATTTTATACACAATGTTTTTTTCCACTTATTAAAAGGTCGGACAGGTCAGCACACTGCCTAGAACTTCAATCGAGAAAAGATGCTTGTAGTAGTCTTAAAAGATCAGATTACAATTTGGATTCAGAAACAACATACAAAACACTCCAGCGTCAGCTGCCTAGTGTTTGCCAACAAAATAGAAACTTGAAAACAGTTTTTACAGATATTACAGAATTTGCTGACCTCATTGCCTCAGTACTAAGTAAATTTCTGAAAGGACCTGTCTGGAAACAGGTCTGACTGAGACTGACAACTACAGGATGTGAATTTTTTTTTTTTTGAGAGAAATTGCTTTGAAACCCACAAATAATGCTTGTCATCAAAGCACAGACGTAATCTAGCATTTGACAAAGTGGAGGAGAAGGAAAAATAAGAGATGAGAGTCAAAGGGGGAAGGGGTTAGAGAGGAAAAAAAATAACAGGCAATAACACAGAGGAACAGGAGAACGGAGTAAAAGAGAAGTGTAGGAAAGGGGAGGAAGGAAGAGAAATTGTGTGTTGTCAAGTCTCATTGCAGGTTCTGCTCCTTCACTGTCGGCCTGCGTCAGTTTAAACACAGAAACTGGCATTTTGCCTGGAACAACTAGCTCACACATAAACATGCACTCAGACACAAACACAAACAGGTAGCTGTACATATAATGACTGGCTCCTACCTGTACATTTCTCTCAGTAGGTGCACATAGAAAACAAGGACTAAGGACAAAGGACAAAACCAGAAGTACACATACAAACCCTGAAAATGCTGCAGACTGTTCACAACTCCCAACAGGATAACATTGATTCAGTAGCTGTTGATTCTGCCCTGGTGGACGTAGTTTTGGGCGGCTGTGGCTCAAGAAGTACAGCGGGTCATTCCCGGCTTGTCCAGTCCACATGTCAAAGTGACCTTGAGCAAGACACTGCACCCTTAGTTGCTCCCAGGGATATCACCAGTATGTGAATGTGTGTGCACGTGTGGGAAATAATGTTAAGTACTTCAGTACGCTACAGTCAGTATGTAAAGATTTCAGACCCTTTCAAGTTTTCCATATTTTATGTTTCAGACTCCTCTTAAAATTGATTCAATTTATTTTTTCCCTTATCACTGTACGCGCAGTACTCCACAATAAGTGAAAACAGGTCTTTCAAGTGTTTTGAAAATGTATTAAAAAAATAAGACGAAAATATTCCATAAGTATTCAGACCCTTCACCTAGTACTTGGTTAAAGTACCTTTGGCAGCAATGACAGCCTTAAGTCACATAGCACATTTCTTTTGAAATTTTCTTCCATTCTTCTCAGCGGAATCATTCAAGGTCAGCCAGGTTGGATGGAGTGTGTTGGTGCACAGCCACTTTCAGGTCTCTCCAGAGATGCTCTCCTGGTTTCAGGTCTGGATTCTGGCTGGGCCAGTCCATGACTTTCAGAGTTTTCTTGAAGCCACTCCTGTGTTTTCTTGGTGGTGTGGCTATGGGTCATTGTCTTGTTGAAACATTAAACCTTCACCCCAGCCTCCAATACTGAGCACTCTGGAGAATGTTTTCATTCAGAAATACTCTATATGTTCTGCATCCATTCTTTCCCCTTTCCTAACTAGTCTCCCAGTCCCAGATGCAGGAAAACCTCCCCATAGCATGATGCTGCCACCATGTTTGACTGTAGGGATGGCATTAATGAAGTGATGCTCAGTGCCTGGTTTTAATCCACACTCACTGTTGGGGACTAAACAGTTCAGTCTTTGCATCATCAGACCAAAGGACTTTGCTTCTTATAGTCCAATTATCATTCAGGTTGCTTTTGGCAATACCCCAGTGGGCTATCATGTGCCCTATTAGTGAGGAATGGCTCCTGTCTGGCCTAGAGGGCTGATTGGTGGAGTGCTGCACTGATGGTTGTCCTTCTGTAAAGTTCTACCATCTATCTATATTACACAGCCTTATGCTGGTTTACTGTCTGCACATTGAGAGCCGATGTTCCTGAGTCAAATTCCTCGTGTGTCCAACACACCTGGCCAATAAAGCTGATTCTGATCTCCAGAAAGGAACTCTGGGTCTCACTCATAGTGGCCCTTGGATTCTTGGTTACCGGTCTGACCAAGGGTTTTCTTCCCCGATTACTCCATTTAGCTAGGTGGCCAGATCTATGAAGACTGTTGGTGGTTCCAAATCTCTTCCATTTGAGCAAGATGCAGGCTACCGTGCTCTTGGGCACTTTCATTGCTGCTTCCACTCTGACAATACACCATCAGCTGTGAGACCTTATATAGATACTGTAGGTGCCTGGTATCCAGTGCTTTAAATTAGGCATTAATCAAGCTGTAGAAACATCTGAACCAGAAACGACCATTGATAGGAGCTTAATTGCTCATA